GGGGTGGGGCTGCTGGTCAGAGGGCCCCAGAGGGACAGGGAGAGGGCCCCAGAGGGCTGGGGGGAGCCCTGGGGTGCCAGCGGACATGGGCGTGTGAGCGAGCACTGCACCCTCGTGGCAGGGACACCAGCCCTGCAGCCTTCTGCGCGGCATCCAGATGTGCTCCCAGCTGGAGGCCCCAGCACTAAAAATGGTGCGAAGCTGGAGCAAGTCCAGTGGCGGACCCCGAGCTGGGCTGGGGGCTGCCCTGCCATGCAAGCCGGGCTCCTTCCTCTGCGGGGGGTTGCATGCACCTTGAGCTGCCCGAGGGAGGGACAGGCTCTTCTCCAACACATCTCCATTCTTGGAGGTTGAAGGTCCCAAGCCACCTCCCTGGTACCCCCCAGCCCACACCACTTTAGGATCAGCCCCATGGGCTGCGGCGGGGCACATGAAGGGGCAGTTTGCAGTGTGCGGAGGGGACCCCAGACCCAGCGCGGTTGCATGGGGTGGGCGGCTCCTCACCTGTAGACATCGGCGATGTCCATGCGGCGGTAAAACTTGGCAAGTCTGACGGACAGGATGATGCTGGGCAGCAGGAAGAAGGTGCACCAGCCCAGGCTGAACCAGAAGGCGTTCTGGATGCAGGGGGGAGAAGCACCAGGGCCCAGGCAGCAACTGGGAGAGCCTCTTCCACTCCCAGCCGTCCCCCAGAGACCACCCACCCACCCCTTCTCACAGCCTGGCCTTTGCTCTTAGCCACAGCAATCCGATGAGGAGATGATGAGCCCTGCTTGCTCAGGACAGAAATGGGTGCCTCATCCTGTGCATGAGGGGGACAAGGGGGCCTCATTGCCACTCCACACACACGTGTCACCCCACACACTACTGCCCCACTCACCAGAGAGTCCAGGATGTAGTCACAGGCGATGGCCTCCACATTATCCAGGCTCTGAGCTATGGGTTTGCAACGTGCCACATCTCCCGTCAGCTGGGGACATGGTGGGGACAGCACATGTCAGTGTCCCCAGAACCCTGCAGCCCGCCCTCCCCTTCCCTCCACCCCACCGAGGAAGACTCAACTCACGCTGCTCTTGGCCCACGAGATGTAGGTCTCAAAGAAGTCCAACAGCTCCTCCAGGAAGGCCCATGACTCCTGGAGGGGGCAAACAGAGAGTGGAGATGCTGCAGCCCCAGCCCACTCCATGCCCCACGTCCCCTCCGTGTCCAGACCAGGGCTGTCAGACCACCTCAACCCAGCAGCAGTGGGGCTGCAAGCCCCAGCCCACCCCAGCCCCTTGCCTGGGGTGCCATAAGGGGAGGGGGCACCCAGGGGTGCAGGGGACCCCTGCGGAAGACGAGAGGGCAGGAGGAGCAGCCAGACATTGCTTGGCATCCCTGCACAGAGGGAAGTCATGGTGCGGGGGTCTGGCCACATCCCCACCGGGTGGCCCGGCAGGAGGGCAAGGCGAGCTCACGTTCTTGATGATGTTTGCCATCTCCCTCTCCAGGAACTCCTGGGTTTCACTGGCTTTGTCCAGCGCAGCTTTTGTCTGTGCCTGGGATGAAAGGTGCTCTCAGCAGCGTTATGGGGGAACTGGGGTCCCCACATCTCCCCCACCCTGCCTGGCAGCAATCCCTGGGGCGCAGCATCTCTGAGCTGTGGTGTCCCCAGCAGTCACATGCTGGTGGTACCCAAGGACCTCAGGTGGAGGGAGCCTGCACCTGGCGTGGGCCCCCTCCCTCTGCCCCCTGAACAGCCCTGACAGTGCATGCCTGGGGAGTCCCACAGCAGCCACCAGCTCCCCAGACTGCAGGTTAGGCCCCACCACCTCCACTGTGGGACCTCAAGGGTGCTTTGCAGGGTGCCCCAGACTGGGGTGCGCTCAGGAGGTCCCCTTGTGAAGCTTACCTCCAGCTGGGCAGCCCCGCTCTGCACCAAGTGGATGTTGTCCTTCAGGCTTTGCTGGAGATGGAGAGAGAGGGGTCAGAGGTGTGGACCCCATGGCTCAGCCAAGACCCCACCAGCAGGCTCTGAACTCTGGGGGAGCCCAAGCCAGCACCCCCAGGACCTTCCCCACCCCAGCATCACTCACCAGCGGCCCAGAGAAGCTCGTCTGCATCTCCCCATCTAGCTCCCTCAGCTTGCTAGCATCAGCCTTGAGGTCGTCTGTCACGTTCCCTTCCTGGAAGAGCTGCAGTCAGTGGTGCCCCCCCAGCATAGGGTCCCTGCCCCACCACAGCCATTTGATGTGGGCCCGGGCTGGAGAAAAGAGCTGGGCGAGGGTGAAGACCCTCGCCTCTGCTCAGCACCCACGCAGGTCTGTGGAGGGGCCCCTG